CCAGGAAATGTCAAACAAGGAAGGTGCGCCAATGCTTCAAACTGACGAAGCAACGGCTGACGATCAAGAGGTCCAAGTTAGTGCAAATGTCGTGGAAGACGACGACGACAAACGCAAGCTGAAATTCGAAACGTTGGTGACATCTGATTCTACGCTGGACTCCGTGCTTCAGAAGCAGATAATTGAGGAGCCGACACTTCAACTGCAGTCACAACGACAGCCAATGACAGACGAGCACAAAATCGGACAGTCAGAATCGGTTTCGCAGTATGAAGAAACACCATCGTCTCAGAAGGCTTCCAGCTTAGATGAGAAGCAAAAGGCTGGATCTTCAGAGAAATCGAGTGCCTTCGATAGGAGCGCCGATTCAGCCTCATCTGCAGACGTTCACAACGATGTCGTGAACTCCGATCGTTTCGATAAAGGAGGCTCAGAAGTGTCGGCATTTCACAAGGAAATGTCAGACAATGACGTTCCACCAATGTCTGAAACTGACGAAGCAACTGTTAGAGATCATGACGATGAAGTTCGTGAAGATGTCGTGGATGTCGACGATGAAAACCGCAAGCTGAAATTTGAGACATTATCGATTTCTAACACCATGCTCGATGCGGTGCTTGACAAACCAATGACAGAGCAGCCAATACATGAACTGCAGTTGCACAGACAACCAATGACAGACGATCATCAAATTGGACAATCAGAATCGGCTTCGCAGTACGTGGAAACAGCGCCGTTGCAAAAGGCACGCAGCCTTGACGAGAAGCAGAAGGTTGGCTCTTCGGAGATTTCAGGTGCCTTCGACAGGAGCGTGGACAATGCCTTGCCTGCAGACGTCTGCAACTATGTCGCCGTAGGTACAAAGGACACCGCTTTCCTTGATAAAGGTGAATTCAAGCAACCGGAAGCAAGAGCTACTCAAGAGTTGTCTCAGCCCCATGAGGAAGAGCGTGATGAGCCGATTGCACCAATGTCTGAAACTGACAAATCAACACCTATAAGTCAAGAGGCTGACATTGACGAACCTGGTGCTGGTTTTGGTAAAGTCGCCAACGACAAACACAAGCTTAAATTGGAAACATCGGTGACTTCTGAATCTACGTTCGACACGGTGCTTTTAAATCTAGCGACCGAGGAGTCTACACTTCAGTTGCAGTCACAAAGGCAACCAATGACAGATGAGCACAAAATTGGACAGTCAGAATTGGTTTCGCAGTATGAAGAAACACTATTGTCTCAGAAAGCCCTTAGCTTAGACGAGAAACAGAAGGCTGGATCTTCA